CTGTTATTTTAATGTTCTTGTTTTTTAAGAAATAATTTAATTTTTGTCAGTTGATATCATGACATTTTAGTAATTCGATATTACAACTTACATAATTATGGATTAATTTTAGTTTTGTTAAATTATTTTTAATGGGAGCTTGCATTAACCATTCCCATGCAGATTGTTCAGATCTTCCGAGATTATTATACGATAGATCAAGATCCAATAGAGGCAAATTACCAAATTCCTTTAGTAAAGAATTGATATTCCTCTTTGCCAAATTTAATATTGTGAGATTTCTTAAACATGGGATTTGTAAAGGTAATTGAAGTATCTGTAAATAACAATAATTCATTAATATAGCGATAAATGGTGGAAACGTAAAGTAATATTTTTTATTTTTAAATAAAAATTTTATTCTATTAATGCAGCGCTCGGAATTAGTTGCACATTTCGGGCCGATTCCCGAGATGACACCTCCTGTTCTATCACTACCCGTTGGCGGCCGAGCCGCCGAAAGCTCTGGCACAGAAGCGTTTTATATAAGAAATAGGCTGAATTGTTTAAGCATCCCTCAGGAAATCGTAACATTTTCTTCGCTACATAAATAATGTTATTCAAATGTGTAATTTCACGTTTCCTTCTATTCTTTTGTACAATAAGCATCAGATCTTGCATAAAAACATGCCTCATTTACAAATAACTTGTTTTTTAGAGGTTGCGGAAAACAATTTAACAGATATTTTAACTTTAAAAAACATATTCTTAGATGGCACACTACAAATTGCAATAAACAAATAGATGTAATTTATCGTTGTAAAGAAAAAGATTGTAATGTCTGTTTCACAAGTAGAAGAGATTTTAATAGACACTTATATCGTCACGTAAGGCAAAGTAAAATTGATATATATTGTGGATACCCAGCTTGTTTTGATAAAACACTTTTTAAAACAGTCAGTAATTACGCAGTACACATATGTAGACATCACTCAAATATGAATTTGTGTAAGCAATTAAATATTGCTGATGATGCTCATAACGAATTAGATTGTAATATTAATGATAATTGTATTGATACTGGTGATAATTGTATTGCTTTGAATTAGTTTTCCAATGATATTCCAGTAGATTATGTAAGAGCTCTCTCTCTCTCTATTTCACAATTATATTTAAATTTAATTACAAAATATTTTTTGACAGAACATACTTTACAAGCTATAGTAGATGGGATATCATCCATGATCAAACTTTCTCAACAGCACTTTGTCACTACTTTAAATAATAGTGATTTACAAAATAAGATTAAAAAAAGAATCGCTGATATGTTTCAAAGTAGCCATGATTTTCTTTCAAACATTTATAGTCCTGTAAATGGTTGTCTTACAAGTACTTACTCAAGAAATATTTATTTTCAAAAACATTTTCACATTCCCAGTCAACAAAATGTTAGCAGCCTGCTGGCAGTTTGCGAGCAGATTCGCTCAGAACTTGGCAGCAAATACGGTGCCATCTGTGTCCGCATTAAGCTCGTGTTCTGTCGACAGAAACTGTCGACATAGGTTGACAGCAGATTGGCGGCAGAAAACGAGCAGGATCTGCGCAATATAATTTGATGTCAGATTGTCGGCAGAAATCGAGCAGAATCTGCCGTCACAATTTAAATGGAATAGCGGCATTTAAATGCTTCATTACAATTTTACATTTCTCGTTTCGCTTATTAAAAGTAGTAAATGAGGTATGTAAAGTATATAATATATATTTGCTTTATTGGGACAAAAAAATACTTATGTTTTAATAAATTTATTAGGCAAAATCTCGAAATCACTGGAATATCGGGTCAACTCGCAGCGCATTTTCAATTTCAAAAATCAGTTTAATATTCTGTATCTCTTATGGGGATTGTATCAGATTATTGTATTAAACTGTTAAGCTTTATTAAGCCACTGGCCACACTTTATATGCACTGTAGATGAATTTTGAGTACGAGTTTATATACGAAGAAACACGCCGCATAGCGGCAATCAAATTGCATTGCGCAGATTTTGCTCGATTTCTGCCGCCAATCTGACATCAAACTGCATTATACAGATCCTGCTCGATTTCTGCCGTCAATCTGATATCAAACTGCGTTGCGCAGGTCCTGCTCGGTTTCTGCCGCCAATCTGCTGTAATAATTCCGAGCAAATTCTACTCGGTTTCTGCTACTGATCTGCCGTCAAATTATGTCAGCAGGTTTTGTAACATTTCTGCTGATATTCTGCTATCATCATCTGATGTAACAGATTTTGTATACAATCTGCAGTCTTTCTGCTGACAAAAATTTGTAGCAGACGTTTGGCAATATCTGTTCGAACAGACTTTACTGACTAGGATTGTATAACTCTATTAAATGCTACATGATTATATATGAGAAATTTTTTACCGGGCAGTAGATTATTAAAATCAATTAAAATCAATAGGAGCGTAAAGAGCCATAATGCTGGTTAG